CCTTTTCTTTCCACACTGAGTACTACACTTTCGATCATATGATCACTGCTTACAACGAATTTACGTTTGCCATACCATATGTTACCTGAAAATGAACTGTACTTGAAATAACTTGCAATAACTGGCTTAGTCACGAATAGGCCTTGTGGACTGGTGAAGTGATTTTTCAGGTTAAATAAAAATTCTCACTGCATCCTTCCTTATCTTCCCCTCCAACCATTTCTACAGTTTCTAAAGTATAATCTCTTCCAGCCCGAATACATTCAGTAGTTTAATCACTTATTTTTCTGAGTTTATTTATTTATTTATTTTTGGAAGGATGTCTGGACACCTTGCAATTATTAAGAGTCATCATTTCAAGATCTTTTCCCTGTATGTTATGTCCTGTCAGTAGGGAAGTTTTAAAATTGTTCTTTCATTTGTGATTCACCTGAGTAAATGAATAATAGTGTCTAGCTTTCTATTAAGGCATTGATAAAACTATTAGCTTTAAGACTAGAGGAAATTTTATTTCTCTAGGTTATAGTTCTGGCCTAAAGGAATAAATAAGAATATATATTCTAAATATTTACTGCTTATATTTGCTATTAGTCATGAGAACTGCCTCCTATTTTGTTTTATAACCATCTTTCAGGATACTGCTTAATATATGTGGTGAACAGCTAAGTCAATTAATGTAGGTTTTCACAATATGGGTATATGAAATATTAGTGACAGATTCTTTCTCTAATAGATTTTGCTGAAATTTTGTGTGCCTGCTTATTTATACCACAATATAGTAGAGGCAATATCTATTGGCATAGCATTTAATATTTAAGTGTTTGCCTTTTATGGCTTGATATATCTTCTTGCTCTGCAGAGAACAGCACTCTTCTATTTATTCCTGCAACTGAATGATCACTGAGTGCAGGAAATTGGTTTTGTCTACAAGGTAGCAAGATGTTTTTGAATGAGTTAGTAACACAGGGAATGTAATTCAAGGTTAGATTCTGTTGCTCTATTTCAGGAGTTAGTAACAGGGAATGTAATTCAAGGTTAGAATTCATTGCTCCATTTCAGGTTCTGCGGTTGGTTGTTTTAGGGATAATGAGATGGGGAAAGTCCAAAATAGTAAAAGGAGTCAAGTTTTGCTTTGAAGAGACTTGTTTGTTCTTGATTTTTGTTTTCAGTGCTCTCATGTGCAGTTGTCAGTCCAGTCAGCACAATAAAACAAAACAAAAATCAATTTGCTAAATTCATCACACTTTTCTTGTTTGTATTGGGATTTGGGAAATTTCCAAGGATGTGATTCTTCAGCTTGTGTTGTTTGTCTTTCCTTACAACTATGACCATTTAAACCTCACCCATATTTTTAGTCTTGCCCCATTCCAAAGAAAAATCTTAAATTGAGCAGGAATGCTTTTAAGAACTCAGGGCAGATATTAAGCCTAAAATAATACTGTGAGTTAATGAACAATAATTATGTTGGGGGCTTTATATATTCTCAATTAATCCTCACATTGACCCTACAAATTAGATATCATTCCTCCAAATGCACACATGAGGAACATGAGGAAATTATTTCTTAGGAATCCATACTGTGCATTTGGGAACATTGAAAAGATAGCAAGACATGACCAATCTTGGGAAACGATTTAGTATTTTCAGTCATGCAAAGGAGGCAATATTTTAAATCAATGATGAAAACAGGGATATAGTTCAAATGACAGCATATGAGGATGGATTTCTATGGTATAATCTATGATATATATGCATATATGCATATACACACACCCACATATGTATCTCAAAATGTATTTTTATGAACAGTGAAAAAGATACAGGGATTATATACCAAATCATTAACCTTGGATAGCATAATATTAGGATTAAAGGGTAAGGTATACTTTCAAATATTACTTTGTAGACTTAATTTTTTATTAAATAGGATATTAAGTTTGAAATTTAGTAGAAAAGTTTGTTCCCTGGCTGACATACTAATGCCATGATTTGTCATCCAGGAAAGAAACTTCAACCATAAAATTGTGTTAATAGATATCTTAGCTTTCCTAATATTTTACAATTAAAAAGAATTACTCACTTCTTGTTTAAAAAACAGATTTTCATGATAAACAACACAATGCAAAAGAAAACTTGAAGAAAAACCACAATTTACCTTTTATTCAAAATCATGGTTTGAAAGGCTAAGACAGAAATCAAATATATATTTTCTAGAACATACTATGTTTTCATTACGCACTTAACATTTACATATTTTTATAGCTCTATTTGTATAGAAATCATAGTGTTTATTATTGATGGCTTTCTCTTTGCTGTCCTCATAAATGTAATCGCTGGTAGCTTAGCACCCACGAGTAACCTAGCAACAAGTCAGTTCTCTAGCAAGTAAGAAATAAATGCAAACAAACTGTTATGGAAAAAGTATAGAGTTTAAGAATATCGTTGCATACATGTTATTAAATATCAAGATACAATGTTCCAATTTTTGAGAAATGGCATAACAGTAGGTATTAAATTTCATATTAGATAATATGATTGCCTGCCTCTTTTACTCAGGAAAAAAGTGGGATCTATTTCAGACTGTACCACTGTTAACTAGGTAACTGAATATATGTGTTCTCTCTGGCAGCCTATTCATTACAGATTAGATGAGAAGAGAGTCTTGGTATGCTTTTGCTATATGGCAGATGAGTTTACTAGATTGAGTTTCACCAATAAACCTTCCTGACAGTGATGCATTGCTCAACTCTTAAACAGTTTCAGAGTAATGTTGTATTTTATTTTCAAGGGGTTGTGTTTATAGTATTATACTTTTGAGGGGGTCAATTTTTGGAAATACCAGGACAAAATAGCACTTTGTGTTTCACGTTTTAAGACTTTGATATATTTAATACTGATGTGTTTTGGGTGAGATTTAACTTCTATACTTGCTGATTATTTTCCTTAGGAAAATAACTCTCCTCTATTGTAGTTTTCAATTCATAAAGGAAGAATATCAGTTATTAGGGAAAAATTGCGATTTCATGGTATCATCATTTATGTGATGAATAGACCCAGGTAGAAAAGGAAACACACACTGGTAAATACCTCCCACTAAATAGCACAGCTTCTCTTCTATGCTGGGGCAGAATTACATCACCCTTATCAATGTGACGGGTAGTTCACTGCACTTCAGGAAATCTTAGAGCCCTAGGGAATATTGAGGTAAAGGACAGCAGGATGAGTGTGGGCTGAACATATATGATTGTGCAGTTAGAGTGAATGCACTGAGTTGTAAAACCAGAAAGCATCTGCTCCCTGATGGAGATTTTTTTTTTTTTTCGGAATGCCCTTGGTTTTGTATTATTTTTATAATCCAACCTTAAATGACTCTGAATTGTTTCTCCAGTCACAATTACCATATGACTGCAACTCTGACTTCTTTCTCTCACTGTCCTTCCAGAGGCTTCCTCACCAGGGAAAAGGGGATAAAATTGGTGAGACCCTTAAAGAGAGGGCTGAACCCACTTAATAAGATAGTTAGATTTCACTGTATGTGAAAAGTTTGGTTACTTATCTGATGTGGATTAAAGTGAATCACCTTTAATAAATGACGGAAGAATGTTCCTTACATGAAAAAGTCACCAACCCTTGGAGATAACTAGCTATTATACAATTGAATAGATTAGTTGCATGGAATTTATACCCAAAATGTCATGACAGAAAGATGCCACTTGTCACAGCTGCAGTCACTGGTTAATTTCAGGAAAATGGCTTTTTAGATGTGGCATATGCACATTAACTGCCCCTTCCAGCACAGATGTCTCAATGGAGTCATATTGGTGTAAAGTACATCCTTCCTTTTAGGAAGTTGAGGTTCTGGAGGGCAGGGACAAACTTTATTTGTGTTTTAATCCACTATTTACTATAGTATGTTATATACTTTGATCTAGTAACAAATGATCAATCTCTTTTGTCAATTAGCATTTGTAGATATGTTAGAAAGATCCATGACAACCATGGAAGTTATATTAAAATAACCTAAACTGTATAATATATGTTACAAAAAGATCAAACAAATAATGTGTGCCCTTGTAGAGGAAATACAGTTTAAAAATGTATTATAGACATAAATTAATTACCAGAAAAGTATTATTACATTGTAAGTTGACCTAAAAGGAACTTTACTTGTTATTGCAGGTTTGGTTACAAAAGTACGGCTACCTTCCACCAACTGACCCCAGAATGTCAGTGCTGCGCTCTGCGGAGACCATGCAGTCCGCCCTAGCTGCCATGCAGCAGTTCTATGGCATTAACATGACAGGAAAAGTGGACAGAAACACAATTGAGTAAGTAATGGCCCCCATACTCCTTTCCTTTTGGCCCTTCAGCCAAAGTAAGTAGTCCGAAAAACTGTATGTGAACTCCACCAACCACAAACGGAGTGATTTGTCTCATGAACTTTTCTTTGGAATTAGCCTGATTCAACTCTACTTCTCTGAAATTTCATAAACTACTTAAGGCCTCAAAGTCAAGTTTACTCACCTGACTTTAGCAACATACTTTCAAATAGGAAAGAAAATATGAATGAGAGTCAAAGTAAGCATACAGTTGAAGCCACTACAAAAAAATTGGCAATAAGTGATAGAGTTAGTTTGTGTGGCTGGCGAGAGTACATTGTGCACATCTCTTCCCAAATCACTGTTAATTGATATTGGATTAGGAACTTGAAATTGGTGATAATGGAAATATTTACACCATGTAAATTGGGGAACAACACAAATTCAGGCACTTGTTTTGAGTGGGAGGGGTGATGTCAGAGACCTGGTTGTTAACGATTTGCTAACTTCTCACTGATAACAATTCTCTAGTGAAATCAAAAGGGTTTTCACTGAAAAGTCTCTACTTTGAATTTCTTATTAATGAAGGGCTTGTTCTTATTCTTCAATATTTGTTTTTAATTGATTGGTTTATTAATCATTTGTTCACTTATTTATTCAACCAGTAACTCTTTGTGAAAGAGACAGGTACAGATTCAGAGGATATAATCTCTTCATCAAAGGAACTTTGTTATCTGCATAGCTAGACATAGTCACAAATTATTTTACCACAGGCACTCAGTAAGTTTCATCATAATGTGAAACAGCATTACTGTTTTTGGACAGCAAAGGAGGAAATGATTAATTCTTTCAATGGAGGGAAAAATCATTTGTGTTTTTAGAGTCCTTGATATTCACAAAGTATATCTATGTCCATTATAAGCTTCATCATCATATATCAACCCTCCACAATAGGGAAGACAAGGATATTTTTTTTCTCTGCTTTCTTAAATAAAGGAACCAAATGCCAAAAATTAAGTGAAGTCCACGATAGTTGCAGAACCCAGGTCTTTTGACGTTTAGCCGGGGCAACTTTCCCGGAGGTGTGCCTTGAGAAACAACATGTTTCTTTTTCTTTTGAAGCTTTAAAGACCTAAAGTATCTGGACTCAGACACTGACATTCTGACATATCAAACTAATTTAATATATAATTTTGAAAATACACTTTTTGTTTTTAATGGCCACAGTATGGTGTTAGTCGTAGTACTTCTATTTAATCAAACAGGAAAGTACGTAATAAAGGCTTTGAGATTAAATTTCAAAGCAGTTTGAAAAAATAGATGTGTTACCTCCCCAAGTACTTTTAAGAGATACATAAATATAAACTTTTACCTGCATCTTGGAAAACAGATTCAAGAATAAATATAACACATTCTGCCACAATTAGAAAGTTATTGTCAATATTGGGAATCGAATTTTAATATTTTGGACCTGTTGCTCTCTGTTACCATTTTCTCTTAATAGTGTAATACCAATATTTCAAGTCATAATATGCCCCTTGTCCTAAATAAATATGGTTTTAAGTTAATAAGCAAAAACCTCCAGCAAATCGTGTGTTGTGTTGCTGTTACAGAATTCCATTTAAATTGTACTCTTCATCCCAGCATTTAACAAAGTGCCCTGCGGCTTTCTTACTCCCTACTGGAGAACTTTTAGCTTCTGATTCATTTTCTTGGAAAATGTGATGCAGTTCTTAAAAATTCAAATAAATTTAGGACTTGGGAAACAAATTACGTTAAATTGCTTGAATGTCTAACTTGACTAGAGCCAACATAATAAGGAGGTATTTAATACTTATTACTAAATGGTAAAATTAAGAAAGTAGAGTCCTAGAAAAGGTGGCATCTGCATTTCCACCAGTTTTGAAAGCTCCTGTTGGTCATTGGAAGGACTCAGGATGGAACCATCTGATTTCCTAAAACAGCTGGGAAAAGGTCTTGTCAGGAGTTAATGGAAGAGGAAAGTGTGCAGGATTTATCTGGGCCCTTAATGTAGAGAGGGGTCTGAGCAGTTTTTGTTCCCTGGCAGGAGGATGTAAGAAGTATGGAGGCGTAGAGAAAGACATGGGTCTTTTTGGGCATAGAGTGGCTCAGATTCCAGACCAGGAGAAATGATGGTGTCAGTGGGTAGGAGTCAAAGTAGCATTTCTGTGATAGAGCATTATAGAGAAAAGATCAACTACACATGTAGGCAGCCCCTAATTTAAAACCAAAGGGGTTTTTCTTTTTTGGGGCTTGATTTTTGTTTGTTTGGTTGGTTGGTTTTGGTTTTGGTGGGGTTTGTTTGTTTGTTTTTCCTTAAACAAATCCTTTTTCTAATTCAGTTATTATTATTATTATTTTGTTTTTTTGAGGAAATGGTAATGCATCTTTCCCTTTCAAGAGCGTTATAGCTAGTGGTTATTTCTAGGTGAAACCACTAAAGCCTTGTTAAACCCTTCCTAGCCTGCCTTGCCCCCTTTGGTCCCTATGTCTGCTTGGAGACTTCACTCTCTTGTCACTGGAACTAGAAACCCTGTAGCTTCATTTGCTTCATTCCTAGTTTTTCACTGATGTGTCTCTACTCTTGAGATGCTGTTGTTCAGGGTATGCAGCTCAAATAGTGTACCATTTTCGGAATGGTAATCCCCATAATCATGCTATTAAAGCAATCATCTGTGCTTTTGTAATCTCAAATGAATATGTGGTAACAATCCATGCTGAAATCGCACTCTATTATTTCACATACTCAAATTATAAGGTATGAATTTTATCTGAGCCTTATTACATAAAATATGGACTACAGTTATAGACCCAAATTATTCCTCAGTATTAATATAATGTTTTATCCATTTTCAGATGCTATAAACTCTTGTCTAATTTTAGCCTCTTTTCAAGATTAGTTGTTTTTAAATTAAATAATTACATCCTCCTTTGGCAGACAAACATGGTCTATTCAATCAATAATTCTGGGATAATTAAAAGTAATAATGACAATTGTGATAATCCCTATATTATGTTGAAGAAATTAACCATTTTCAAGTAACAAATTAAGGTATTTACTATCTTAAATGGTATATTATATTGCTTTTATATTAATTAGCAATGGTGTTAGAGAGACCATAATAAATACTTATTTACTCCCACAAAATGAGTTTATTATCTTATGTTGTTCATTTAAATTATGGATTGGTTGGCTAGTATTTGTAAGCAAGCTCACTTAAGTTCCTTAATGAATGGAATAATCTATATTATACATAAAAACCATATATTTAGCAAAGAGAGAAAAAATAGCAAGGTAATTAAAAAATTAGTCTGATATGTTTTTATACTGTTAATAGTAATTTTTAATGTTATCTTGATATGTACACAGTGGTATGCACTGAAGCTTGCTTGATGAGATATTTCTTAAAGTGGCAAATCTT